TGCCCTTTTCTTGAAGTGAAAAGATTTGCAGGATTTCAGGTGTTTATCAAATTCCATTTTGAAAGCTACAATTGAGTCTGACTTCACTGCACTTTTTGGTAGTGCATTCTAAACCCTAAAATCACTGAGTAAAGGCATTTTTCCTCATTATCTTCTTAGTTTTTCTGTCATTCCTTCAAAAGAGCATCTTCTGATTCTCAAACTTTTGCCAATGGGAACAGTCTCTCCTGATCTATTCTGTCTCGAACACATGATTTAGAAACCTCTGTCAAATCTTCACTCAAAGCTCTCTTCTCTAAGGATAGCAACCACATCTTCTCCAATCTAAACTCATAACTGAAGTCCCTCATCCTTGGGACCATTCTCATTGATCTTTTCTAAGTCTTCACATCTTTTCTAAAATGGGGTGCCCAGACTTGGACAACGTGCCAGTTGATGTTGAATTGTGCTTTATAAAAGGTTCATCCTAACCTGCATGCTTTTGTCCTCTATGTCTCCATTTATAAAGACTAGGATGCAATACATTTTTTAATCACTTTCATACATACCCTGTCACCAACGATTTGTGCATCTATATTGACTGAATGTCTCTATTTCTGCAACTGATTTAGTGCTGTATCCTGAATTTTATGTTGTCTATCCCTTCTCCTAAAATGTAACAGTTAAAGCTTCTCTACAGAAAATTTCATCTGCATTTGTCTGCTCATTGCACTGGCCTGTCTATGTCTTCTCAATGTCCATCACTATCCTCCTCACAGAATATGTTTAAATGTTGTGTAACATGCAGATTCTCAAACTGTGCCCTTAATAACCAAGGCTAGGTCATTGCATACAATCAGGAAAAGCAGTGATCCTGTTACTGACTCCTGAGGAATCTCATTGCCTACCTTTTTTCCAATTTGGGGAAAAAAAAATCACTATTACCCGCTGATACTTGCCACACAGCCAGCTTTGTATCCAACTTGTCACTGTCCTTTATATTCCATAGGCTTCAACTTTACGAGCAATCCTATTCTGCGGGACTTAAAATTTTTTGAAAGTCTATTTTCATCCAAATCAATGGAATTATACCTCATTAAAAAGTTCATTTCTCCCTTGTGTGACTGACTCTTAACTGTATGCCAATCATTCAGCTTTAAAGGCTGGACTGTAATTGTTCCATTAAGGTTTTGATTGTCAATCTTTAATTCCAATTTGGTTAGAGACAAAAAAAAATCTGCAGATGCTTGAATCCAAGGTAGACAAACAGGAGGAAAAGAGAAGTCAACATTTCAGGTATTACCCTTCTTCAGGACTGGAACTGACTTCTCCTTTCCTCCAGACACTGTCTGGCTTGCTTTGTTCTTCTAGCCTCCTGTCTGTCTACCTTTAATTCCAATTTACCTGGGCCAGATCTATTTTCAGGCACTGAAATTCACACTTGTGGATTAAGTATTTTAACTCTGGATTTCTCCTTATCCTTGTCCCTGCAAACTTCTACCTCATGATCCTATGTACACAACGCTCTAAATTATCCCTCATTGACACTATATACTTGCTTCACTTTATTTGCCAGAACTAAATCCAACAAAGCTGCCTTTCTACTTGGATCAGAAACAAAGTGATCAAGAAAATGTTCTTGAAGACAATCCAGAAACTCTTCTGCTCTCTGTCCTTTACATAATAAATATCTTAATATAAACCATGAAATATGAAATAATAAAACTGTATGTAATATAAAGTATTTTGGCATTTCAACTGACAAAGGTGATGGCACAGTGGTATTATCACTGGACTGGTAATCCAGAGACCTAGCTAATGTTGTAAGGACTCAACTTTAGATCCCACCATGGCAGATGGTGGAATCTGAATGCAAAACAAATTTGAAATTAAAAATTTAATGATGAAATCATTGTTGATTATCTTAAATACCAATTTGGTGCATTAATATCCTTAAGGGAGGGAAATCTGCTGTTGTTACCTGGTCTGGCCTACATTGAGTCATACAGCATGGAAACAGACCCTTTGATCCAACCAGTCCATGCCGACCATAATCGCAAACTGAGCTAGTCCCATCTGCCTATGCTTGGCCCACCTCCTCCAAACATTTCTTTATCTAAACATCTTTTAATTGTTGTAATTGTACCCACGTCCACCACTTCCTCTGGAAGTCCATTCCACACACAAACCACTCCATTTCAAAAAAAAAAATGCCCCTCATGTCTTTTTTTAAACCTTTCTCCTCTCCCCTTTAAAATATGCCCCCTAGTCTTGGAATCCCCCACCCTAGGGAAAAGACACCTGCCATTCACCTTATCTATACCCCTCATCATTTTGTAAACCTCTATAATGTCACCTCAACCTCCTATGCTTCAGTGAAAAAAGTCCCAGCCTATCCAGCCTCTCCTGATAACTCAACCCCTCCATTCCCGGCAACATCCTGGTAAATCTCTTCAAACCCTGTCCAGCTTAATAATAATACAATAATAATAATATTCTTCCTATAACAGTCAATTAGATCATCCCTACAAACTGAAGGGAACTTTAAAAAATGCCTCTTAAATCATTTTCCTTGCATGTTATCATTCTGGTGAATTTGTGCTACCAGCAGGTTGCTGCACAAACCATGACCTTAAACCAGTTCAATAGAAATATAACTTGTTGTAGTGTCTATACTTTGCTTTATTATAATGTCATCAACTAAGTTAGTATGGGTACTACAAAAGCAGAAGTTGTTTGAAAAGCTCAGCTGGTAGTATCTTTGAAGAGAAATCAGAGTTCACGTTTGGGTCCGGTGACCCTAGTATGGGTGCTGATGTTTTAAATGTTAATGATTTTTTCCCCCTGCAATTTGGTTCTCCATTACTGTACATTTAATTTTCCAATCATTCTGAGCATTGATGAAAAAATAATCATTTCCCATGACCTTTCCTTTTGCACTCATCGAAGAAACCAAAGAATGTTAAATTTCAAGCAATCACACTATTTATATGGCAGGAGAAAAGGCTTCTTATTTCTTGGCAAGTTGATTCCAATTGGCTAAGGCAATGCCAAGCTGAAAGCAACAGCTCCTGGGTAATTCAAAATAGGACAAGGCTTGAACATGTTTGTTTTTGTTGTAGAGGAGCAGATCTTTGTGCATGAATGCACTACCAAAACAACTTTGTCTGAGTGAACTATTCTTACCAAGCATTCAGCATGGGGTAACTAAGTTTCTACTTTGACAAATGAATATCATTTATTGGCTCAAATAGCACAGAGTAAATTTTTTTTCAGATGACCTGAATGAACAGCTCCCAAAGAACTTAGAAATGGTAGCACAGCAACGTAGTTGATCCTTAACTCTGAAATTGTCAAACAAACAACTCAGTTGTATCATACTACTAAAAAGTCACATGGGCTGATCATTAGCAAATGGAATTCAATCTGGATAAATGTGAAGTGATGTTCTTGGGCAGGACAAACAAGGCAAGGGAATACATGATAAACTGTAGGATCCTGGGAAGCAGCCCAGATCACAAGGACCTTGGTGCTCATGTTCACTGCTCCCTTAAGAATACAGCAGGTGGACAAAGTAGTTAAGGAGGTATGTGGGATATTTGCCTTTATTAACTGATGTATAGCATTCAAGAACTGGGAGATTATGCTGGAACTGTATAAACATTGGTTAGGCCACAGCTAAAGTATTGTGGACAGTTCTGAAATCCATGCTTTAGTATGGATGTGACAGCGCTGAAGAGGGGGTAGAGAAGATTTAGCAAGATCTTGCCTGGGCTGGTGAGCTTTAGTTATGAAGAAAGATTGGACAGACTGGGTTTGTTTACTTTAGAGCAGTGGAGATTGATGGGACATGATTGAGATGTATAAAATTATCAGGGCAAAGACAGGGCAGTCAGGAAAGACCATTTCCTCTTGGAGAGATCAATGATCAGGGGACAGACGCTTAAGGTAAGGGATACAAGGTTTAGAGGAGATGTGAGGAAAAACCTTTTGATCTGGAACTCGCTGCCTGTAATAGTGGTAGAGATAGAAACCCTAAAAACATTGGAGAAATATTTAGACGCGCACTTATGATGCTAAGTCATTCAAGGCTATGGTCCAAACGTTGGGAAATAGGATTAGAATAGTCAGGTGGTTGTTTTTGACTAGCACGGATATGATGGGCCAAAGGGATTTTTTCCGTGCTGTGTATCTGTCTATCAAAAGCAGTCTGTTTGACAGGCACCACATCTGTAAACATTCACTCCGTGCACGACGAATGCTCAGTCGCAGCAGTGTGTACCATCTACAAGATGCACTGTAGAAATTCACTAAGGTTCCTTAGACAGCAGCTTCCAAACCCATGAAAACTTCCATCAAGAAAGGAGAGAGAGAGCAGCAGATACATGGGGCATGGCCTCCAAATGGCTACCATCCTGACTAGGAAACATATCGGAAACATATCGCTGATCCTTCAGTGTCACTGGGTCAAAATTCTGGAACTCCTTCCCTAATGGCACTGAGGGTGTACCTACACCAGCTGGAGTGCAACGGTTCAAGAAAGCAGCTGACCATCACCTTCCTGATGACAAATTGGGATGGAGAATAAATGCCAGTTTAATAAACACAGCCACTGACACCCACATCCCACGAATAAATAAAAAAACTGCTTTATTAATATGGTTTAAAACTTGCAGTCCATACACTCAAATTCTTTGCAATTCATATTGAACTAAATGTGCTTTCATTCACAATAAGATACATTAAATAGAAAATACTCAAACACAATATCAACCTGCCTCCTCTACAGCTGATTCCATAGCACTAAATGACAAAGGTCTGAAAGCTTACTACTTTTGGACTGGAGAGAATTCAAACAAACAATGAAATAGAAAGTGGATTCTTTCTAAATAAAATAAACCATTTCAAACAGACATTGTCAAATATTGTACAAGGTTTAGCGCTTAAATAGATTCTGTTACAAAGACATGCATTTTGTTCAAGTGTTTCATACAGCGTTGTAAGTCCTGATACTAACATACCTCTCGGTGTCTGTCTCTGTCCCTGGATTTCTCACGGACCCAGTCTATTGTATTGAAATCTTCATATGTCCCCAAACCAGGAATTGGCTCATCTAGAAAATCCATTATCTTGCTTGAACCATTCATTCCTGTTCCATTATAGTTTGTATACCCTGTATAAGAGGAAAATAAATACATCCCATTAACCTTAGAAGATAAACTCAGAGGATTTTTAAAAACCCTATTTTCAGTCCTTTGCAGCCAGGCCATGCCAATGGGGTCTTCCAGTGCTCTGGTGTGGCTAGTTTAATTGTGCTGAATCACCAATATACATTGATCTGCACTATTCACTACTACTGGTAAGTCATTTACAAGGCTGCAGAGGCAAGATAAAAAAAAAAACAGACCTCACAAATGTGCAGTTACACAGGCAGATGAAGTGTGGGCAAGACTAACTGATTTCCAGATCGTGGTGGATTGCTACAATAAATTTTGTAAATTACGGTTGGATGAAAACCATGAAAAAACTATACAAATTTGGAATGCCAATAATCTGATCAAAATGCCTACAAAAAGAAAAGCACTGTTGCAAGCTTGGATTTCTTTGATATTTTAAAATGATAGGTATCTTGGGTCAGTTTCTGTTCTTTGCTCCTGCATGGGTGGAGTAGGGAGGGGAAGGTGGAAATGCATTTTAGTGAAATAGTATTCTTACAAAGGCATGCATTTTTCATGACTACAAGATTTGTATCCCACCTAACTAACTGACATAACCATCATCGGACCTTACAGTTTCATGGTAGATCGTGGGTATTCTCCATAGCTAATACCCATACACATACTTAAGAATCATTCACTTTAACCTCCTCTGGCTACTTTATTTTATGCCTGCAAAACTTTACTGTGGAAGCAGAGGGCATCAAATCATTCTGTGAAGCCAGATGAAAGACTCAATAAATACTTACATCTGCCATCACAAAAGAGGATTGCAGTAGAAGCAGAAGAGACAGTGGATAAGATTAAAAATTTTGTAAAGCGTTGGCGTCACTTGATCTAGATGATAGGTTTTCTAGGTTACTGAAGGAAGGTAGAGTAGCAATAGAAGAAGCTCTAATCCAAATACTTCAATTCTCCTTGAATATGCAACTGGTGCTAAAGGACTGGCAAACTGTAAACGCTACACTTGTCAAAAAAGTGGAGATGGATAAACTTAGTAACTTAAAGACCATACCTAGACCATAGCGTGAGTATGCTTCACCACTCAATATTATGATTAATTTTCTAATAAGGTCCTCTGATTTGTCACTTAATACTCTTCAGAGCAATGATTCTGTTAAATTCTACCCAATCCCTGCTCCCACATTCCAATTCAGAATATCTTTTATATACAAGATAATTCAATTGTATTTTTCATGGGACCACGAGCAGTTTAGACTTAAATTGTGGGCTGGCATGTATGTTTAACGGAATAACTGAGATAAAGTAAATGATGATCAAGCAACACCAAAACTGAAAAAAGAAGTGCAGGAACAAATGAGTTCCATAAATTTAAGAGAAAAGATTGAGTGGTAGTTGGAGATTTTGAGAAGATTCAGAGCAGTAGAACAGTCCGTTTGGAATTGGCAGAAACAACAGACAAGTTCATGACAATGACCATAGTGATACAGCATTGATGATAGCAAAAGATAAGGCAACTTGCACAAGTGAGATGAACGAAGTTAGAGGTGAAACTGCACTGCCAGGGTTACGTAAGAGGAATAACGTTAGCAGTGCTAAATTCAGTTTCCATCATAAATGAAAGATAAGTGTAACATAATGAGTACATGTATGGAATCCGAAGGCACATCTCCTTTGGGCAACTTAATATGTAATTCACCACTTTATATGCAACTTTAATCTTTACTCAAGACATTTCAGCATATTCTCTAATAGGCCAGAATTACTGGATTATTTTCTTCTGGTTCATGCCAAGTTTCAGCTTGCTAATTTCTCTAAACTTTAATCTGACCATTCTTTGCCATGAGTTACAAGCTTCTACACAGCACTACAAACATCAGTTGTAGGCGAACCAGTATTGTACAGAATCTAGGCTGTTTGTGAGAATTTCAAGTTCATACTGAAAGATGCAAAATGCCTTATAAAGAAGGAGAATTAGTATTAGCAGCATGTCAGAGATCATAAACCAGCCAACCATGAGTACAAACAATATTTTTGAAAATACTTGGAAAAGAGGATTGTTTTGGCCTTCGAATATTTTAGGTAAAGTTTACTGTAACAGTGTCAATGATTCAATTGTTATGACACAATGAAGGCATAGGGTTCCTGAATACCACAGATTGTATACCATCTGTGAGCTCCTTTGTAAGAAGCTTAACTTCATTACACAACTTCTGGCTTGCTAAGCTTAGTATGTACTAATTTTTGGTTCTCTAGTCAAATTTATAAAAGTTATCATTGACCACAGATTCTCAGGAAGGAACCTTAGCTGAAAAGAGTGCAGATGAGAGAACTATTTCAGTTTCAATTTGGGTTTTCTTTAACCAAGGTTTGCCAGTGCAAGAATGGGATTCTAGTAATGTAGCCCAAAAATTTCTTGTAAATATTCAACATGAAGTATTACAAAGAAGAGCTATGAAAATACTTGATTGCACACTCAAGTGGAAGTAAGAGGAAATATGTTGGTGGAGGCAGAATGCAGTTTAAATAAAATGGCTCTACTTCATAGAACATTGGTTTATGGTTAATTAGTGGGATGTAATATAAAATCATAAATTTGTGTTCAACAGCTACTATTTACAATATACTGTAAGGCTTATCTGAAAACATTTCCCAAGCTCAGCAGATCAAGTAGACACCAGCCAGTCTCTGTATTCAAAAAAGGAAACTTCAAAGTTTTTTTGATCTTAACAGAATACCAATAAGGCGGATACAAATATTTCCAACACCACATTAATATTCAGGAAGGCACATGGACCTATAAAAGAGAGAGATAAAATAACAATTCTCTATTTTCCTCACACCCACTAGGCATTCTAAATCAGAATATTTTTACATTAAGCCCGTTACACCCTATAAGAACAAAAGAAATAGAAGCAGAAGTAGGCCATTCAGCCCCTCAAACCTGCCCTGCCATTCAATAAGATCGTTGCTGATCTGCTTCAGGCCTCAACTCCTCTTTTGTGTCAGGTCATCAAACTTATTAGCTCCTCAATATTTCAAAAATATATCTATCTTCTCTTTAAATACTTGCAGTTATCCGACCTCCAGAACTTTGAATTACAAAAGTCCAAACAACACAATCTCAGAGAAGAAATTCCTTTGCAACTCAGTTTTAAGCCAGTGTTCCTTTATTCTATAACTATATCTCCTAGTTAGAGATTCCCCCATTAGTGGAAACACCTTCTCAACACAATGCCACAATACCATAAGACAGGAACAGAAACAGGCCATTCAGCCCATTGAGACTGTTCCACTATTAGATTAAATCTAATAATCCTCAACTTCATTTTCTTGCCTTTTCCCCATTGATTCTCTTCCTGATTAAAATCTGTCTATCTCAGCCTTAAATATACTTAATAACCCAGCCTCTACAGCCCTTGGGGTAAAAAATTCCACTGACACACTACCCTCCAAAAGAGATTCTTCATCTCTGTTTCTAAAAAGGTGATCCCTTATTCAGAGATTATGCTCTCTGGTCTTAGACTCCCTGACAAATGGAATCAACCTTTCTGCAACTACCCTGTCAACTCCCTTAAGAATTTTACACATTTTAATAAGATCATCTCTCATTCTTCTAAACTTCAATAAGTGCAGGTCCTACTACCTCAACATCTAGTCATAAGACAGTCCCTCCATTCCAGAAATCAGCCTAGTGAACCTTCTCTGGACTGCCTCTAATGTCAGTATTTCTTTCCTTAGATAAGGGATCAAAACTGTTGTTAGAATTCCAGCTGTTGTCTAATTTTACCAAGTGTTGTGTATTTGTACACTTCATTTGATTTAAAACATTCCAACTGCCTTCCCTATTACCTGCTGAACTTGGGTGCTAGCTTTTTGTGATTAATGCATGAGGACTCTCCTGAATTCCCCTGGGCTGATCCCCTCTGTGCTGCAATTTTTATGGTTTATGCCCATTTGAATTATATTCAGCTGGTTTATTGTTGCTGCCAATGTGTATAACCTCTCATTTTTTCAGATTGCATTCCATCTGCTAAGTTTTTGATCACTCGCTTCACCTGTCTACATTACCGTGTAGACTCTCTCCCATCTAATTTTGTGGCATTCACAAAGGGTTATTGTACATTCAGTTTTGTCATCCAAGTTATAAGTGCAAAGCTCAGATACAGAGGTAAGTTCGCGTCCTAGTGCATGAATCGTAAAGGTTTAGGTGCAACAAGTAGTCAAGAAAACTAACAGAATGTTCTGTTCTAAAGAAGAGTCATGCTAGACTCAAAATGTTAACTCTTTTTCTCTCTCCACAAATGCTGCCAGCTATGCTCAGATCGCCAGTATTCAGCATTTGTTTCAGATTTCCGGCATGCACAGTATTTTACTTTTATGAAATAGAATGTTATTTTTGAAGAAGGGAAATAAAGACAAAAGGAGGTTATGCAAGCCATTTGAGAGACCAAATCTGTAATACTGTTGACAATATCAGTCTTTTCATCTAAAATGCTAAATGTTCTGGAAAGAGTCGGGAGAAGATATAGTAGAATATTACCTAGAAAGAGCAGGTTGTCTTACGAAAAAAGGTTGGATAGACTAGATTTGTATCCACTGGAGTTTAGAAGAGCAAGAGCCAACTTGGTTGAAATATACAAGACTCAAAGGGGTCTTCATAGTAGTGGAAAGGTTGTCTCCTTTTGTGGAGAATCTTAAATGAGGGATCACTGCTTAAAAAAAAGGACAAGCAGCATCAGAGGAGCAGGAAGGTTGACGTTTCGGGCCTAGCCTCCCTGCTCCTCTGATGCTGCTTGGCCTGCTGTGTTCATCTAGCTCTACACCTTGTTATCTCAGGTTCTCCAGCATCTGCAGTTCCTGCTATCTCTAAATAAAAAAGGACGGCCAGTTTAAGATAGAGGAGAAGAAATTTTCTGAGGATCGTGAGTATTTGATACTCACTTCCTTAAAAGAAAGCAGAGTCTTTGAATATTTTTAAGGCAGAGGTAATGTT